CTCTCCAGTCTATCCAGATCCCTCTGCAGAGCCCTCCTGCCTTCCGGCAGGTCGACACTCCCTCCCAACTTGGTGTCATCTGCAAATTTGCTGATGATGGACTCAATCCCCTCATCTAAATCATCGATAAAGATGTTAAACAGGACTGGGCCCAGCACTGATCCCTGGGGAACACCACTGGTGACCAGCTGCCAGCTGGATGCAGCCCCGTTCACCAGCACTCTCTGGGCCCTCCAGCCAGTTCCTGACCCAGCACAGAGTGCCCTGTCCAAGCCATGGGCTGCCAGCTTTTCCAGGAGTATATTATGGGAGACAGTGTCAAAGGCTTTGCTGAAGTCCAGATAGACCACATCCACAGCCTTTCCCTCATCCACCAGTGGCCTCCGCTGGCCCCTCCCCAGCAGCTCCTTCTCCTTGTCGTGAGGAGCCCAGAACTGACCACAGTCACTGCTGTGAGAGTTCTCTCCCCACGCCACAGGCACCAGTGTCCAGGACAGCAAACTGGAGTGACCGGTGCATGTGTGTCCCTTTGTGGGCTGAAAGATGTGGGAGTAAAGTCCCAGCTCACTCGGGTCAATGCAGATTTACCCACAGCAACAGCCTCGGGTTTTACCCCAAAGTAACTCCTATATCCTTGGTGTTTAAAAAGGATAGGTTCCTTTAAATAAAAAAATTATTACTAATAATTAATGTGTAAAATTAGTTCCTACTGAAGGCACCAGAGCTGCCTCCTGCTTCAGCAGCAGCCCTTTGTCAGTGCCACACATGAGAGACACGTGGGTGTCTTTGGGAGATAAATTGTTAATGGGATTCGGGAACGAAACCCAAAGAACCATTCTTGTGTTTCACCCGCTTGGACTTGCCAGGATCTGTGCTTGGCACGGCCGGGCTTGGGGGAGCGCTGGGCTCGAGGGGAAGGAGGATTGGGATGGGGGGTGAGGGAATTCAGCGAAGTTGCGAACTGCGCTTGGAATCGCTCGGTGGTTGTGTCGGGAATCGCGAGTTCCCGGCGGCCGGGAGGGAGGAGGACACCAGGTGGAGCTCCGTGCTCTCTGCTGGGATATGGGGATGACAATCCTGGCTTGGAGCTGGCGCCTTGCAGGAGTTTCGGGGTCGGGACTCACCACCCAGAGGTGCAAAATGAAACATTTTACCGGCGTATTTGCATTAGCACTTGAGGCCCCCGGGGCCACGAGTACTCAGATCTTGTTAATCCGCAGAGTCTCGTGGATAACCTGCAGCAGGTCTTGTGTGGATCACGATTAAGGGGCTGCACTGACACTGCCTGTTCTCTCCCCGCGTGTGGGGGGGTGTCCCAGTTTAAATGAGACAAAGTCTTTTGCTGAGGATGGATTAGGAGAAAAAGACCCAAACTTCCTTTTCTAGCAATTATAAATTCGAAATTAAGAGGCTCCGATTGTTCGAGAGTGAACTTCCATGTTGGAGGAACTGAATCACTTTTTAGAAATTTACCCAAGTCCTCCCATGGCCCATGCCACTCGAGTTTTTCCACCCCTGGGGCTGGCTTCTGTGCCCGTTCTTGGTCAATTTTGGGCCTAATCACGAATATTAGATATGACACCGTGGCAATAGTTATGACACCTAGCACAAAAGAGAAAATGTCTCTTACATCTAAAGAGAGCTTAAATTTCTCAGAGGCCATTGTATTGAAACCAAAGGGAAAATGTATGAAGGGCTGGGCAAATATACCCCCCTGTGTTTCTCCATAGGGATAGGTGCCATTATCCTTAAAACCCCAAAGGAGACAGTGTAGGTTAGAGCAGTAATATATCCGTGAAAACATATCCCGAAGGAAAATAACAGGTGCTGAGTTTGCTATGTCATAACACCAGTGCGAGATCTCAAACATACTTATTGCAATGAGGGTCATAGTGTCAGAGCTGAAAAACATCGACAGGTGGGACATAGATCTCGGCATAATCATATACCACAGAAAAGCAGCAATCTTAGACTTCATGGTGCTTACAGGTTCACAAACACGTATAAAGTCACACAAGGGCAGTTATTCCTTTTCCATTTTTCCTCTCTCGAGCCCCACGTTGGGCGCCAATTAATGTCCCAGTTTAAATGAGACAAAGGTCTTTTGCTGAGGATGGATTAGGAGAAAAAGACCCAAACTTCCTTTTCTAGCAATTATAAATTCGAAATTAAGAGGCTCCGATTGAAGGAAAACAAATTATGGAAAAGGGAAAAAATAACAGCCCTTTATTGAGGGGGCGCCGTCGGGTCACTGGAGATGCAAAACTTGTAATGTCTTATACCGTTCACCAGGTGGTGCTGTTGAGTTATCAAAAAGTGCAGAACTTGTAATGTCCTATAGTAGTCACCAGGGGGCGCTGTTGGATCACTGGAGGAGTGGAACTTGCAATGTCCAGCCCCCGTCACCGGGCGGCGCTGTGGGATCCCTGGTCGCCGCCGGGTGGTGATGGAGGAGGGGGGAAGGAGGGGGGAAACAGAAAGTTCTCCCAATGGAAGAAAACTCACGATTTTCGGTTGGTGAGGACCCCGCGGTGAGCCAGGCCTGTAACCAGCAAACAGCTGCGCAGAGAACAGCAGCCAAACTCTCCTCCGACAGGCAAAAGACAAAGAAGCAACCAGGCAGTCTCTCCTGCTTGCTGCAGCCTCCCCTCCGGCTCCAGGGCTGAGCTCCAACCCCCAAACCCCACCTCTTTCCATACACACACCCTGGCCTTTTTCCCAATTCCTCCCCCTTCGTTGCTAGGAGATTAATGTCTGGTCATTTAGGGCTCAGGCCAACTCCTTTGTTTATCTGATGGCCCATTAACAACATACACGCAGGAGGGGGAAGGGGAAAGGAAAGACAAAATTTCTTGCTAAAATCAGAACTATGACAGGGGGTCTCAAACCGCCCACTTTTCACTCTCAGCTTTCAGCGTTCCTTCAAGCAGCTGCTTTCCCTGGGGGCGGGAGAGCAGGGGGGAAATTTCCCAAAATCTGGGCCTCTGGAAGTTGGAATCAGCGCTGAAGCAGCGCAGGGAGAGCGTGGGGATTGTTCCTGGAAAATTCAATCCACAGCGAGCTGCACAAGGGGCCAGGCAGTGGGAAGCACAGGGGGGGTTTTGTTCCTCAGGAAGGTGATTTTTCCTTGCTCAGCACCAGCTCCCGGGTTTTGCTGCCAGGAGGGGATCGTGGGGGCCTCCCAGGATGGGCAAAATTTTACTGGGATTGTGGAATTTTTTTCGGGGGAGCAACCACAGCAGCGGCTCTCCTGGCAGGAACAGGAATTCTGCAAAAGCAGAGCTGCCCACAAGGAGCTCTGCTTACCCTGCTGGGGCACTTCAGTGGTTTGAAATGCAGTAAATGGAAAAATAAACAAAATTTGCTAGAAGTAGGTCTGGCTGGGGATGTTGAACACAACAGCAGGATGGGGCTTATCTTTTCTAGAAGTCTTGATTTCAAGACATGCCTAGAGAACACCCTGAGCTGATCAGAGAGAGCAACAGAGGGTCAGCTCCTTTATATTTTTTTAGGTCCCCTGTCCCTTCTGAGTGATTAAATCAATCACCCCTGCCATGAAAAATAAGAGAACTAGGACAAGGAAAATATTTACAGCGAGATTCAGAAACTTCACAGGCAGCTGCCTCAATATTTAGTTTGGAATTCAAACCCTGCTCCGGTTGCAGACAAAAAAATAAAAAAAATATTGCAAAGTAATTGAATTTAGTTTCTGCAGAGAAAAAAAAAAAAACAAAACAAACCCAAACCAACAAACCACCAGTCAGTAAAACTGACCTGTTCAAGAGGTGGATTCTTGGAAAAAAAAAATATAAAAAATAGATCAGAAATAGATCAGCTCATCCCCCAGTCTCTCCCCTGAGGACGGGGGGGATTCAGGGATGTACCTTTTGGGAAGAAGCTGCAGGACAAACAGCTCTAAAGCTGGAGCTTCTCTGGTCAGCCTTGCAGCAGTAACTTGTCCCCCTGTCCAGCCACTCCAGTGAGTGATTCCATAAAATGTAAGCTCTGTGTGTGTCAGGGATGGAGCTGTTTCCCAGAGCCTCAAAAGACAAAGTTTAACTCCTCAGCTCCCTCTAACCCTCCCCGTGTCTCTGTGAGCCCACTGGGGGCTGCTCTGACACCCTCAATCAGTCACTCACTGCCTGACAGTGCTCTCTGTGTTCCCACTCGGTGGGTGTGAATGTCCCTGGGAATTCCTCTTGGCATTGCTGGACTCCCACAACCATCGGGCTCCCAGAACAACATCGTTGTTTTCTCAGTGCCTTTCTAGGCTAAACAAACTTCTAAAAATAGCTGGAGCCCGGGTCTGCAGCAGGGAACAAGGCCTTGCACTGGGGCTCTGTGAAGCTCCTTTGGAAACGGAGAGTTGCATTTACAGAAACAGCTTAAAAAACACTTGAAAATAAAAAGTAACGTTTTATCTCGTTAGAAACGCGGGAGGTGAGTAAGGATAAAATACAATTCTGATGCTTCCTGTGCTGTAAAAGACACCTCAAACCTGTTCCACGCAGTTCACAGCAAACCCAGGTCCCACCTGAGCTGTGGCACGTCCAGATTTTTTGTCACAGAAAGTTCAAACTCCGAGCGAGCGAAAGCTCCACAGAATCTGAGCTGGCACCTTCTCTCCTCGCTTCATCCTCTCTCCCCACACCCAGGGCTCTGATGTTCCTCCACCAGCTGCTTTCAGGCACAGAAAGAGCGTCCCAGAGGGAGAAATCAGGATTAATTAGGATCTCTAACAGCTCCAAACGCTTGGCTGAGGAGTCCCAGGGCCGTGTGAGCAGCAGCTCCATCTCCTGTCCGGCGGAGAGGATGAGATTTCCCGGTTACCTGTCGTGCAGGTGGATGTCCACGGGGATGAAAGTCACTGTGGGAGGCTGGGCCAGGCCCTTGTGCCCCAGGGGAGGTGGCATCGCTGCCTTGGAGGGTTTGGGTTGCAGCTCCCGCCTGACCCGCGCGCGCCTGCGGAGGGAAAGGGGGAAACGTCACCAGGGGGGGATCCCGTGGGAAGGGGTGGGAAGGTCCCCACACAACCAGGATACCCTGTACAGTGATTTACCAGTCAGTAAAAGCCAGGATTTCCACCCCAAAGAATCAGGGATGAGAGGAAGTGCAGAGCTACATCCCAACCCTGATGGGATGTTAAGGATTCAGGACAAACCCACAGCCTGGGAAGGTTAGTCAGGAAAACAACGGGACTGATGGAAAACATGGAATTTAATCCCTGTGCCTGCAGGAAGGGGCTCAGCCCCAGCAATAACAGAAGCTGGCAATGAACCAAATGACAACAAATAAGAAAAAACCTCAAAATTTGAAGCTCCCCAACCAATTTGGTCAGAAAGCACCTGGAATGAGCAACACATCAGGCTGCAAAGTCATCACACACAGAAAGGGAACAAAGTCCTGACATTCCCATTTGCTGTTCCAGAACGTGGGAATCCTACAGACTGAGTGTGGCACAGGCACTTAACAGGATTAAGCCTGATTTTTTTCCAATTTCTTTTTTTCAATTTCATCCCAAAGGTACCAAATGGCAAGTCCAGAAGCTGCCAACAACAAACCCTGGCAGGGACTTTGGTCCATCCTGGGGAACACAGAACTTCCCCACCTACCTGTTGTAGGTTTTCAAGATGAGCAGAACCGCTGTGAAAATCACAATCACCCCCACCACGATGGCAGCAACTATTGCTCCAGAACCTGGGGGACAAACAGGGAGGGGGGGAAAAAAACCAACGCCTTATTTACAAAGTTGTCACTGTGCTGCTTGAGGTTCGAGAAGTACAAGGTCCACTAAAATAAAATAAAATAAAAAATAAAATAAAATAAAATAAAATAAACCAGCCTTCTCCTTTTCTTACTTTGGTAGAGACTTTGTTCTTGAGACTTGGTGGTCACGTTCCCTGAGAGCTGAGTGTTGCTGCTCAGTGGCGTGGCCGTCGTCATCTTGACTGCAGAGGGGAACAGGGGAGTGAGTTCATAAAACATCAGTGACATATCAACCCAAATTTACACTGCTAATTAAGCAATAGGGTCAGAACCTACTAAATGAGTGTTCACCCAGCTGGGGTTCTTAATGTTTTCACTCTGGTGAAAATCAAGCCCTGCTGAAGCTGATGGAAATCTCACTCCAGTCTTGAGCAGGTGGCTTTAAAATATCCCTTGTTTGGTGTTAAAAGGATTAAAATAAGATATAAACTCAATAATGCATCTTTGCTGCTGTTTGGAATAATGTGTGTTTTAAATGCTTTAGGGCTTTTAGGTCGTCATCTCAGGTTGAGATCTGCTGGTGAACGAAATCAACTGATAATAAAAATAACTGAGAATCTGACAGGCAGCCTGCCCTGCCTTCTCCCTGGCCAAAGAAAGCTTTCCCAAATCCTCCTGCACTTTGTCCAACACCACAGCCAGTGGCAGGGCACAGGTTTGGGAGGCAGGAGGACACAGTGGGGTGGGCAGTGACAGGCAGGGGGTTGTTTGGGGTGGGGAGGGCACCAGCTGAGTCAACACACGGCGTGTCCTGGGGAGGCTCCGTGGTGGGAATGAGAGGGATCAAGAACCAGCAGGAATGAGAGGGATCAAGAGCCAGCAGCAAGGGGAGCAGGCAGGGTTTGTGTGGGAATGTGGGATCAGGACTGCAGGGTCTGTTTCACCAAATACTTCAGTCCCCCAAAGGTAAGAGTTTGGATTTCTTCTCTTAACCTAAACCCCCAAAATAACTCTGCCCTGAGCCTGTAAGTGGGTCATTCTCCTCTGGCTGAATGATGCCTTTGTTTAGCCAAGGCCACGTTAATGCAGCGACAGGAACTGCAGCTGCAGATCTTTCAGCACTGAAATATTCTGTGTTTAGAGCTTGCCCAGCCCAGGGAAAGGGTTCACACACACCTGGGGGTACCTGAGAGGCACCAGAGCTCAGGGAGGAGCTGTCCCTGTCCCTGTCCCTGTCCCTGTCCCTGTCCCTGTCCCTGTCCCTGTCCCACCCATCCACTCGAAACTGCGGGGGTGGAGGTTGCACATTGGCAGCAGAGGATGAAGAGCCTCTCCATCCATCTGCAGGCTGGGGAAAGCTGGGCAAGTGCTCTGACCGTGGGCAGAATGTAGAAAAAAAACCACATCCAACTGTCACCTTGTGGCTGCTGAGTGGAAGAGCTGCAACCCCAGACTCCCAGGAGAGTTCTTCCCCCTCCTCTACCTACTAAAATGAAAACCCCCAAATAAATAAGGCCAAACATTTTGACATTAAGCCATGTAATACTCCTGCTTCCTCCCTTCCATCTGGTTCAAACCACCTTGGGAATGGCTGAGCTGGTTGTGCATGAGTCACCCAACCCCGAAGGGCTTTTATTGTTGTCGGTGAAACCTCCTGTTTACAAAAAGGATTAATTTATCCACCAGAGCGGCAACAAACTGAGGTGCAAATGGAGATGGGAAAACGCGTCGGGTCAGGTTTTTTTCTCAACTGTGCAGCGAGTCAAGAGGTCCAAGGGCTGTGTCTCCAAGGCCTGAGCCTCCAGCCGGGTCAGGGGGTGCCTGTCCTTCACCTGCAGCCCCATTGCTGCCCCGAGAACCAGCAGGTTCCACCTGAGCAAACCCCTGCTGTGAGACTCAGGGACCCAGCAGAGCCCAGCAGAACCTCCTGCTTTTGGGGAATTGCAGCCTGGACCCTGCCCTACCTAGGAAAGCCCAGGGAAAATGCAGAGTGCTGGGTAAGAGCCACCCAGCAGGGCAGAAGGAGCGGACTTTGCTCCGGCAATCACGGGACATTCTTTCTCCGTGACACACTGGCTGCACTTCCCCCTCTGCACACACACCTGCCTGGCTCCTGAGAGCCACTCATTCCCCCAGCCTGAAGGTGGAGGCTCACACTGCTGGTTGTTTTTGCAGCCCCTGGAAATGTTTCCACGGAGTTCCACTCGGGCCCCCCCTGCCCCCTTTCCACTTAAAGCACCTTGGCTGAATCAGTGCAGGGGTTGTTTGGGCCTGGGGGAGAAATGCTCTCCTTGGCACAGCCTTCCCAAATTTCAGCTGGAGGGCCCTGCTCCTGTAGGAGGAGATGGGGGATCAGAGCTCCAGCAGCAATTACAGGAGAGGGGGGACAGGGAACAGGGGGCTTCGTTTGAGTCTTGATCCACTGAGAGCATTCCTGGGGGGCACGGGAGGGAAGGAAGAGTAATCAGCAGTTAAATATTACCCAGAAAAAAAAACTGATTCAGAGAGGAGAAAAAATGCCTGCAGGCACCTGCAGGAATCTCAAGGCAGGAGTGGCTCAGGGGGGATGGCCAGTGAGACTCGAGGGGACAAATGTGAGACCGTCAGTGGGGGCACTCAAATGGAAAACAGGAAAATTAATCTGAGCTGAGCCCTCAGTTGGAGCCTGGCAGGGGTCTGTGGCATCGTGCCAAGTGCCCCCAGATCCCACCACCCAAACAGTTTCTCTCTGCTGTTCAGAGAAGTTGCAGCCAAGTGCCTGTTGGTGGCCAGTTCTGGACAGACAAAGCAGAGAAGAGCGGCCTGTCCGTGAGGACATTCCCCACAGCGGGAAGTCAACCCCGCTTTGGGCACGTCACCACCTAGAAAAGGCCCTGGAAAAGTCCCCACAGCCTTTCAGATTGCTGGAGGAGAGAGTTTTTTAAAAAAAAAAAAAAAAACCAACAAACCCACCCCACTGCAGACTCAGCAGTGTGTTTGCAGAAACGCTTCCCAGGGCACCTGACAGCACCGAAGGACCGTGGCTCCAGGGCCTCTGGAACTGGGTTATAACTCGGTTGCTCCGTGGAGGTGGTTGTGAAAACACTCAGCTCTGTGTGTGTCAGTGGGAAACTGGGTGACTCAGACATCCCTGCAGCTTTTTTTCCCTTGCCTTCCCTGCTCTGTGATCTCCATTCATGCCTCCCATCGTTCCTCCCTGCCAGAGGCCTGCCGGGGGCTGCAGGTTTGAGCTGCTGTTTCCTGGGGTTTGTGGCTCTCCATGAAAGCAGCACAGTCATCCCCCACCACATTCTTTCCCTCTCCCACGTGCCCAACCACAGGCCAGGCCAGGGCTCCCTCTGTGGCCCCAACCAAACCCCCTCCCAGCACGGTGACACCGATCCCAGCCTGGCACGAGGGCATGGGAACCCAGCACGTGGGATGTCACCCAGGGGAGCAGGGGCCGCTCTGGGCAGGGGGATTTACCCTCAGGGCACAGGGCCTGCTGATCTTAGAGCCCTGTTAACCCCCACCCTGGGCTTCTCCAGCTGCCCTGGGCACTGAATCCTGGCTGATTCCATCGCCACAAACGAGGAGAAGAATTTGGTGTCGCTGATAAAAGTCACTGCTTGCAGGAGCAGCAGACAGAGAGGAGCTGGGCTGGACGGGAAACCTTCAGGAATTCCTGCCAAAAAGGCAGCCAAGCTGTGGGCCAGAGCTTTGGGAGTGTTGTCCTTGGTCAGCAGCTCAGCCTGAGGTACCTCAGGCTCCCCGGCTGCTGGGCTGGACCTGCTGCAACTGAAGCTCTTCAGCCACCAGAAAAATGCAAATCCTGATCCTTCTGTGGGAACCTCTGAGAGTTTCACACCCGTCAGGGTTTTTTTCTGTATTAAAAACTACAGAGAGACTCCTGGGTGGAATATCACGCTGTCAGGGGGCAGGGTTAGATGGGATATTAGGAGAACATTCTTCCCTGAGAGGGTGGGGAGGCCCTGGCACAGGTTTGCCCAGAGAAGCTGGGGCTGCCCCATCCCTGGAAGTGTCCAAGGCCAGGCTGGAGCAACCTGGGCTGGTGGAAGATGTCCCTGCCCGTGGGTAGAAGAAGATGCACTTTAAGGTCCCTTCCCAACCCAAACCATTCTATGATATAAAGACTCTGTACACACAATATAAGGAATTCTGGCTGCAGCAGAGAAAGGCAGCTCCTTTCACTTTGCAAACACCAGCACGGAAGCAGCCACAGGATTTCTTGCACATGCCAACTTGTTGAATCAGTGAGGCACCTTCCCCTCTTCCAGGAACCCTTTAGACAAACACACAGGTGGTTGGTACCTCATGTTTTCAGCCTGGAATCCCTCAAGCCCAGCCTGGCACCCCCAGCCTGGTTCTCTGTCCCCACAGAGGGACAACGACTCTGTCAGGCCATGAAGTCACCGGTCACTGCTTTGTCTGCTGCTTTGTAAGCACTAAATGAAACCCTCCTGCCCAAACACTCCAGCCCAGCACAACTTACCCCAGCAGTGAAATCTGTTTGCAAAACGCTCTGCTTCCTTTAGCAGGGACTTCCTGGGGCATTAAATACATAAATTACCAGGAAAGACCAGAAATCGCCGTTTAAACCTGTCAGCAACTTCAGAACGTCCCCAAATAATGCAAGCACTGTAGTTCTGTGCTGGAGACACTCAGCGAGCTGTAACACGATGCTCTGAGCTTTCTAGTTCTTCTGTTAAATATTACTTTGCCAGCCCTTTCCAGCCACTCAACAGATTAAAGAAAAAAAGAACCCAACAACCCCCCCACACACAACAAAACCACAAACAAACCACCAACAAACCCTTATTTGTAGCGCTGGGGTTGAATAAGTCAGGACAAGGGATTCGGCGTTTGCAGCGATGAAAGGACACGGCGAGCGAGGGAACAATCGCTCAACAGCCGCGCTGAGCTCTCCCCGGGGAGGGAACAACGCGCCAGCTCAGCCCCAGCCCCGTCCCTTCGAGGTTTCCAGTTAATGGAACAACTTCTCGAGCGCCGGTCGAGCAGGGCGAGGGCATCTGCTCGCTGTTTGTCTCTGGCTCGGAGCTACCCACGAAGAGCTTTGCGTTCGCCGCGGAACGGGAGCACAAAGCCCGCATTAACCGCGCTCAGGAACGGCTCTTCACACGGGCAGAAGGCACCGCCGAGCTTTAGGGCCGGAGGGTTAAACTGACGGTAAATCAAGAGTGATTCCCATCCCCTCCCGCACCTCCCCGCACCCCCCGCCCGGGGTACTCACGGGGGATGCTGCGGGCTCGGGGCGCTCCCGCGGCGGCTCCGGCTCCTTCCCCCGGCCGGGGCTCCGGCTCCTTCCCCCAGCCGGGCCCGGCGCCGCCCGGGGACAGCGCGGTGCCCGTGTCGGAGCCGCCGCAGCCCCGGCACAGCCCCCGCCGCCCGCAGGTGCCTCCCCGGGGCCGCCCAGCCCAGCCCGGCCCCCGGCGCCGCCTCCCCGGTGCCCCCGGCAGCGCCTGGAAGGGAGGATGGAAGGGATGGAAGGGATGGAAGGGATGGAAGGGATGGAAGGAGGCGGGATGCGATTCCCCCCCAAGCTCGCAGGCGGGATTTGGGAACAGCCCGACCCCCAAGGTCTTCCAGGCACTTCGCGGGGAGGGTCCCAAACGCTTCCACCCCGAGCGGTTCCGTCCGCTCGTCACGATCGGACTGGAAAGGAATCCTTGCCTTTAACCTGCGCTCCGATGGCTTTATCTGCGCTTCCCGCTAAGTGTGGAGTGTGTGACCACAGCCCCTGCCTGGATTTTTCCTGTGGGAATCCCCCTTCTAAAAGGGATCTGTCCCCCGCCTAGACCTGATGCTGCTCCCACGGGAAGCCAGGAAACCACACGAACAAGCCACAGCCCTCAGCCCAGGCTCAGCTCGTGGTTTAGGATCTTTGTGCAGATGTTTCCCCCCACACACAGCTGCAAGCAGAGCCACCATCCCTGTTATAATCCACCTGAAACGAAGGGATGGAACCTGTCCCTTACAAAATCCAGCCTCTGTATGCCAAGGCAGCAACGGGGGCATCCCAACAGTCCATAAACATTTGCAGTGGGTTTTTTGGGAAGGCCAGAGTACGTCACAGCCCGGAAAGATGGGATGAGGGATGAGGTGCTTCCTTCCCTACAGCTCCCTGCTGATTCCTGGGTGGGAAATGTTCACTCTGGGTCTGTGCCTGCTGATCTGTGGGTTCACCACGGAAAGCGCTTTGGGGAGCCATCGACAGAGGTGTCAAATGCAAACCTGAACTTGTACTTACAAACCTGAACTTGGATTTATAAACCCAAACTTGCCTCGGTGCTTGCACCAAAGACAAGGCCACAGCCACACGTCCCATCTGAGAAGCTGGTGCTCAGGTCCAAGTGAAGACTTAAAGAACAACCAGACCAGCATAGACCACTACAGGAAATGGGAATTTACCTCCTCCAGGAACATTTGTATTCCCAACATGTTCAGTTTGGTGCAACTTTTCTGCACAGCTACAAAGACCCCCATTAGTCCCTTCCAGCTCAATCAACCCTTTTGCCTCAATCCCACCCTGTGAAGCTCCTTAAAACCAGAGACTGAAGCCTCAGCAGGGATTACTCACCAGTCACCTTTTCAAGGGAGTAAATTTCGCTTGATTGGTTTCTTTTCAATTACTGCCTCATCCTGCACCAACAAGAAGCAACACGAGGCTCTCCCGGGAACAGGAGTGGTTTTCCAGCCACATCCCTTGCCTGGGCTGGATCTCTGGAGAGCACAAGGGGCAACCATCACTTGGAAGAGGTGTGAATGCAAGTTAATAAATCTCTCCTAGCAAGTTTTCCACTCAGAGCAGAGCAAGTAAACAAAGCCTGGTAAGATGAACGTGATTGTAGGCTAAATAATCCCACAGCAGTCAAAAAATGGAAATGAAAGCTTTCAGGGAATAAGTGAAGCAACAGGCATTTAAAGGGATCTGGGATATTTATTTATACAAAGTGCAAGCTCGGGAAAGGGCTGAGTTTGGTGCCCCTGGTGCTAAAAATAGCACCCAAGAGCAGGTCAGTGATTCAAAGAAACAGGTTCTGGTGGTTGTGACCGAGCCATGGCGTGGTGTAAATAAAGCAAACTTGAACTTCAGCCATTCCCAAGGCAGGGTGTCACCCTGGGGTGCCACTTCTGGTGCCAACTCTCCTGCTCCTGATGCCACCCAGGACAAAAGCCCCCGGTTTACTTTTGTGGATCGGTGCATCCCACATTATTTATGGAAAATCTGTCCCTTTCCCTCCTGTGGGAATGGGAGTCTTTTTGAAAGCAAGGAACCCACCACAACCCCCCTCAGTCCCTCCTGCAGCCCAGCAGCTCCCAGGATATTCCTGCTGAACCCCCCCAACTTCTTCCCTTCCCTGACAATCCCCACGTGGAAACCCACAAACGATTGCTGTGATGTTCACTCGGGGCAGACACCACCCTGAAAGAATCCTCCATCTCAGACCTGGCCCAGAGTGGAACACAGCTAAAATCCCAAGTGTGAATGGCACTGCACTGTTTTATTTGAAGTGTCTTTACACAATGAGAAGTGCTGGAATGTTCCACATTTTACACGTTTATACATCGACAATGTCACGCTGGATCTGCCTCATAGAAGTGTTTCTGAGGGCTCCCCACTTACTGCTACTCACAGCAACTTCTACAGTGGGGTGGAAATTCAACAGCTAACAGAGTAGAAACAACACAGAAAATCCAGACAGGGCTTCTGGAATTTGAAGAGTCCACAAGCCTGATGGGTAACACAGGTTTTTGTTGGTGGTGGTTTTTTTTTCCCCCTTTGTTTCAATGCAGTGAGACAGAGAAGTTGGTCTTTGAGTGATTTTAATACCTGAAGAGATACATAAATATCACACCTGTGGAGGCAATGTGAACAAAGCCCATTTTCCTACCTTTTTAACCTACACTATTCCTGCCTCTGGAACAAGGACCTGCCTGCAGGATCCCACTTTGCAAGGTGAAGCTGGTGGTGGATCCAGGACGACACAAGAGTTGGAAACTGCTCCATCCACGTGAATCCCTGACCATTCCTTTTCTCTCTGCTGTCAGTCAAGTGAAAAAAAAAAACCACTCTGGAGAGTTCAAGAAGCACGTCATGAATGACTGAACCACATTGAAATGACCCTGAAAAATCTGAGTTTCTGAATTACTCAGATGATTTCCACACACGAATATCAGCAGCCTGGTTTGTTCACAGATCATTTTATCCTTTGAAATAGAAAAAAAAAAAAGAAGAAAAAAAAAAGAAGAATCTGTCTAGACTAAAAAAGTTTGGCTATAAAATAGCATAAAAGCACAGGAGCAGGTGTTGTTATATACCAAGGCATGTTGTCCTCCTACTAAAAAAACACTTAACACAAGATCACAAAAGTAAAGATCTGTATTCTAAAAGATGCCCCCCTGCTCTCAGAGGCAGCAGAGGCTCTGCCAGACACACAGGAAAACAGCAAACAAGGGCTGGAACTGCATAAAAACTGCCTAAGCCAGGCAACTGATTGTCTTGGAAAATACAAAACAGACTGGGGAAGTTAAAAATTAACCCTCAGCGTCCGATCTCCTGCCATGACCTCACAGTCACGGCGTGACGTGGAGCCCGCTCGGGGACTGGACATCCCCAGAGAGGAGCAGAGACCACACATTCAGCTGCTGGACCCACACTTTCATCTACCTGCTGTAATGAACTCCTAATTAGGTGTCGGTGCAAGCCACCAGTGCACCAGACAGAGCTCAGGGTTGGTGACAGTCCTGGTGTGCAGCCACCAAACCCAGCTGAGTTCAGCTCCACCCCTGTGTTTGTGCCTCATGGCCAGCCACAAACACACACTTGGCCTTTCTGAGGAAAGCAAAGGGTAATCCTCACCTCAGCTGGGAAGGAATTTCAGCATAAGGAGTGCATTTCACTTGTGTTTAACGCTGCATGAACTGGAAGCTGTTGGACCAGCACAGATCAGCTCTGCATTGCTGTGCAATGAGCTTCCTGGAACCCAGCCACGACAGCAAGAGATTATTTCAGCACTTGGTACATCACACTGTACAACAGAAACAAAAACATCTTAAAAAAAAAAAAAAGAAAAAAACAAAACACAACCAGACTTCCTATAATTGTCACTATTTCAAGTCAGGTGGATTTGCTACACTCAGGGGGGTGGTGGGGTGGGACCAGTCCCTAAAATTAAAGTGCTTTTCAGAGCATTGGCATCCAAACCCTTGAGCATGAGAGAGACAACTACACAGTCAGCTCTGTTGTGGCTACAGCAGCAGCACAGACATCGACACATGGACTCAGGAGTGTCTGGTGTTGGTACCCCCTGGAGCAGCTGAGCTCTAGCAGTGCATGGTCCCCCCCACCTCCAGGGCACGCTCGAAGGCCTTGGAGTCGCTCAGGATCGTTGGGGGCGGGTCCGGGCGCCGGGTCTGCAGGATCTTCTGCCTGGGGTTTTTCAGCTCCTCCTCCTCCTCTGTCTCGCTCTCACACACGTGGACCACCACGCTGGGAGTGGAGTCTGTCCCTGCGTGGAGCTCGTACTTCTCCCCTGAGGGCAGCAAACAAACACCCTGCTGAAACACCTCCACCCAGGGGGAAGCATTCACCTCAAAAACTCCTTGAGATCTCCAGCAGCACAGCCAAACACTCACCTGGGATTTGCTGGGCTGCCACGCTTCACTAAACCTCTTTAAAAAGAGTTACATCGTACTTGGAGGACAATCAACCTTTCAGCTGGTGTTTAAAGCATGGAAGGGGTGCTAAAAAACCCCTCCTGAGCCACTGAAGGCAGCACACACATTTTTTAAGTGGCATCATTTATGTGACAATTTGTAAATGAAATCCTACAAAAGCACTCAAAAATGTTAAGCCTCCATATTTCCTGTCTGTCACAGAAAGCAACCACCAGGTTTCCCAGGAAGGCTCAGAAAGAAGTTGATGATTAAACCCCCAAAAGCACATATTAGCATCTCTATATCCTTAGTAACTTGAGCTGCCCATCTGCAAGAGCCTGAAGTTCTCATTCCTCTTTTATTGTTTGTTTCCTTAACGCTGAGACTTGGACAAAATTCAATATATGGACGTGATGGAGCCAGTACCACACAGTCCAGCCTGTGCTACACTTCCAACCAATTAACTAATTAAAGTAAAAAAAAAAAAGTGATGGGTCATTTCACTCCAGGAAGAAACATCACATTAAAGAGACTGAGTTTCTTCTCACGCAAAGACAAGTAGATAAAATCCCTCTATAACCATTTTTCAACTTAAGCATCACAGCAAAAGCAGGTGAAATGTTCCCACCTGGTCCCAGCTTGGAGACAGCACACAGCAGGTCATAGTTTATCAGGGGAGTTGCATCTTCACTCTGTTTCCACCCAACTGGTGGAGAGGCAGGTGGGGAGATGAGGAACTGTTTGACAGGCTGTGGAGGGAGGAGGTAGGACTTGTCACCTATTTCGCCGGACACCTGCACCTGAGGGCAAAGCCAGGAGATACAGATGGCAGATGTTAATTCCCTCTTTATTTAGGCATTTCTCTACTAATGCCTGTCCACCCCCTGCTTTGGCAACGGCTCCATTCAGCCAGTCCTGTGGGTGCAACCCCCAGGGCAAGGCTGCAGTTCAGACCTCGGCCTGGGCAGGTGCTGCCAGTGCCGACCCAGCATTTACATCCCTGCAAAGAGCACTCTGCACCCACCCCTTCCCTTCCAGCACAGCTCTGGTGGGGTCTGAGCAGCAAAACTGCCCCCAGAGGGTGAATTTCTCCCTGACGTGGCTCAGGGTGGGACAACGAGGCTGGAGGTGATTTCTGATGGTTGTCACGAACGGAACTCACTGAAAAAGGAGGACTGAGGGATGAGGGCCACGAGCACAACCCCTTTGCTCCACCCCACCTGGGCAAAGTAAAGCTTCAGCTTCTTGCCCCCGAAGTCCGTCTCGTGCAGCTCTATCCGTGCTCTCGCTGCTGCCTCCGGGTTGCTGAAGTTTATCCTCACCCTTCTGAAGCTCTTGAACAACTGGAACGTCACCTGGTCGTCGTAGGCCGTGAAAAGGCCTTCAAACCTTTCCTAGGGGTGAAGTAAAAACATTGTCCAGATACAAAATGAATGTTTTTAATCTGGGAAAACACACTAGCCTTGGGCTTTCCCCCCCCCAAATCCCACCCATGTCCCTTTGCAGCAGATTTGTCCCACGGATTCAGTTGGAATTCCAAGAGCACCTGGATGTGAACACAGACCGAACACTCGGCACGCACGAACTGCCACCTAGTGAGAGAAACTCGGAGTGCGCATCTCCAAAAATGCACGTGGCTCTCAGCAGGGATCTCCAAAAAACGCCGTGCAGATGGAAGCATTTTTATATGAGATGAACTGAAGCGCTGAGTTCTTAAGGCAATGTCAAAATTCTCATCTTAGTCAGGGATTTTTGGTCTCTTCCAAAGTAAACACTCACAAAAACGCCAGATTTAAAAAATTTACATACTGCTCCCCCTCACTCATGTCATGTAACTAATTATTCCTGGTGCCCTTGGAAGCCCAATGGAATTAAGATCTGATGGAATAAAATGCTGACAGGCCAGAAGAGAAGATTTAGTTTATTATAATGTTTTCATGAGCCACTTTCAAGGTGTTCAAGTCAGAACACGCATCCCGCACATTTTGTCTTGCTCTTTTAACAGGAAATAAAAATTTACACTTGCAGATTTTATTTTTAAGTAATAATTAAAAAAAAAATCGGATTTTATTTTATTAGATGGATGTGGTACCAAAACCACTGAATAAAGAGAAAAAAGATACTGATCAGAGGAGCTTTCCAGGGGAGCAGCACTGTGTATCCACTGACAATTCCAAAGGCCAGGGAAGAGTGGTTTTATTTCCTCTTTGGTAGCTGTGCTCAGGCTGCTCTGAGCTTCCCAGGAAAATACTTTGGGATGGGTTTTTTCCCCCAGTTATAACAAGCATTAACACACCAGATTACACTTCCAACCCCACCCGCTCCTCCTGCCTCACCTTCTCCTCCTGCACCTCAAACACGGCTTCGTGCACGCTGCAAGCGAAGAGGGAGGTGGGCAGGTCACTCAGATCCATCATCTCTTCCAAATAGTCCTCATTTTCCCCAAAAATCATCTGCTCCTCCTCCTCCTGGTCGCTGCTGTACAGGTCGGACTGGCTGTCGCTCCAGGACTTCATGGGATCCCTCAGCATCCTTGTCCCCCTGCAGCTCCTGGGGAGGGGCCAGCTTAGAACAGGGCTCTGCCATCCCAAAAAAAAAACACACAACCCAAAATCCAGTGTGAGGACCCCACACCCCCCTGCCCTGGGGAAGGAGTGAAGATTCTGCTGCTCGACCCAAAGGGACATCAAGTCGCTCCGTCAAGGAGCTGAAATTCCCCCTCCCTTGGCCCTGACGAATCCAAACTGACAACGCCACTCTGTGTAATTCCCAGCACAGCATTTCCTGCTGTAAACCCAAAAATCTGAAAAGCTGCTGCAGGGAACACCGAGCTGCAAAAGCCACTTCAATTCTGCTGTGGTTCTTCCTTCATTAAGAAAGCATCACAGTTCTGTTCTTTTTAATCACGAGCCTACAGGGTTAATTCTGTTTTTCCTCTCAGATTACCAGTTTTTCGTGACTTCACCCAAATCGGTATCAAAGCATCTGCTTACTGAGCAATGCAAGGACATCCTACACCTTCCCTGGCATCAGATGAGACAGGTAAGGCTGATGTGTGAATGTTAATTAACAAGTCCAGAGACAAACAGCCCTGTGAGAAGTGATATTTTAAGAGATCAGGCAGAATTGTTTGATTATGCAATTATTAGAGAGCATTAAAACCAGAAGAAGGGCGCTCCAAGCTTGACAGGCGCAGGAATGGGATTATCAGTGCAACAGCCAACCTGTTCTGATTCAGCTTTCCTAAGACAAAAGGGAATTTCTTCACTTACCACCCTGGAAAGGCGAGAGGTTCCTATTTATCTGTGAATGGAGATATGCAAATGCACGTTGTTTGTCACAACCAGCTAATTCCTATTTACGATCCGCTAATTCTTACCAGGGTATTAACTGCAATAAAAAAAATTGAAAGCGATTTCATTGCAGCGCTCATTAGCAAACTCTTTGCTCTCAGATTGCAGATTTAACAGCCTCACACAGCTCGACTGAAAGGATCCCAAGGAACTAAAGCCACTGGGATCAGACCTTTCACTGAGCCCTCTCTTCTGGGAATTAATACAAATTAATACCTGCTTACCACTTAAACGCCAGGTGAAACACTCGAAAGCAAACTTCACACAGAGCTAAAAATCTTCTGAAATTTAAGCAAAGGGGTTTCTGCCCTTGGGGGCTTCTGCTCTTGGGGGTGTTTTCCTGGGCATCCTCTGGAGCAGCAGCCGAGAAGGAGCAGCTCCCTCACAGTCACATCCCACCGCTCAGGGAGCCACCCTCCCGAAAAACCCGAACACAGGGACCAGAAATGGCCATTTCCACAGCAACAGAACCCTCCCCGAGGAGCCGAGGGGCAGAAATCCTTCCCTGGGAGGCTGGGCAGGCCCTGGCACAGGTTTGCCCAGAGCAGCTGTGGCTGCCCCATCCCTGGGAGCGCCCAAGGCCAGGTTGGAGCAGCCTGGGATAGTGGAAGGTGTCCCTGCCCATGTCAGGGGGTGGCACTGGGTGATGTTTGAGGTCCCTTCCCACCCCACCCCACCCCACGGTCCCGCACACCCCGCGGAGCTGCAGGGACCGGGGCTCACCCCCCACCCGCGCCGGAGCCCTGACCGGGGATATTCCTTAATTAACCCCCCCCTCCCCAAACCCTCGGGATCCGCCCCTCAGGGAGAGAAACAAAAAAAAAACCCAAACCAAAACAAACCAACAACTTCCGCACCCTCGGCCCCGGCCCGGGCCTCACCTCACCTCACTTCACCTGCGGACGGGGCTCGGGGCGGGGCGGCGGGAGCGCGCACCGCGCTGTGCCCGTGGGGCTGGAGGGGCGGGAGCGCGCACCGGCCGGGGAGGGTGTCCGTGTGGGGCGGCGGGAGCGCGCACGGGCCGGGGAAGGTGCCCGTGTGGGGCGGCGGGAGCGCGCACGGGCCGGGGAAGGTGTCCGTGTGGGGCCGGAGCGCGCACGGGAGCGGCGGGAGGGACGGGAACGCGCCTGCGCGCGTGTCCCCCCCCCCCCCCATCCTCCCCCCCTCACGCCATTCCCCAGCGCCTCCGGGAGCGGCGGGGAGAGGGTCGGTGACCCGGATGGAGGAAGGGGGAGGGAGGGAGAAGATGGAGTGAGGGAGGGGAGAGGGGGATAAGGGAGGGGAAGGGAGGGAGGGGCGGCCCCGCGCATCCCCCGGCCCCGCTGAGGGGGTCCGGCAATGGCCGAGACCGGGGAAGGGTGGTGGGGTGAGGGGAAGGAATTATTTAAATTTATTTTAAAATTCCGCGCGTTGCCCTCCAGAGCTGCGTCTGGAGAAGAGCTGGAGGCCCTGGCAGGGCCGAGCGCGGAGGAAGGAGCTGCCCAGAGGAGCTGTGGGAGCGGCCGGGGCCGTGTTGGAGCAGCCTGGGCCGGTGGGAGCTGTCCCCGGGTGACCCCTGAGGTCCCTTCCAGCCCAAACCATCCTGCGATTCCACAGTTTAATCACCTGTTGATTGAGGTCCGGGGGGGGGGGGGGCCGTGGGAAACGACACGGGTGGCACTGGGGGCACAGCGGGATGCTCCGTGTGCTGGGGCAGACGCTGCTGCTGCTCCAGGGTGGATGTAGGGGCAGCTGCCAGGTGGGGACAGTGACAGTTCGCATCCCTGGGAGTAAATCTCGCCTTTAATCCCAGCCCTGAGAGGGCTTGAGGCAGCCCCGTCATCTGAGGCGGGTGATTAATCGACGCCTGCGTCCCTTTGCCTCCCGAACAAAACACAAACCCGCGTTCCTTTGTTTGGCCGCGTTTGGTTTCCCCACGGCAAAAAGCACCCACGCAAAGCTGTTGGATTCATCGGCACAAATCATTCAGTCCCACAGCTTAGGCCTTGCTTGGAGAGCCAGTGCGGGGTTTTTGACACGAACACTGAATTTCTGTGGTTGAAACGCTTTCTATTCGAAATTTCAGGTACAGAAAAAAAAAAAAAGGGGCAGAAAGCAACGTTCAGCTGGTGTTCTCCACCAGGCTGGTGATTTATCTGTGCTCAGGGCAGACCTTTCCCTCACAAGAAAACAGCAGAGCAGAGCTGGCTTTAGAAAGGTAAGATCAGTCCCACCTGCCCAAGAGAAAGGGATTCTGCAATTTAGAGGCTGTGCAAATTTAGGTGGTAGTTGGTTACTCTCTGTTACCTCAGCCTTCCCTTGCTGCAGTCACAGTTTATTGATTCAATACCACAATTTTCCCCCCTGGGCCAGTAATATATTCTGCTTCGATACCACAAACTCCCAACATTTATATGGCCATTTCAGAGGCATTTTAAACACTTCTGTCTTTTGAAATAACACCTCCTGTTCCTGCAACGCTGCTGGCATCTGGCTCGACTGCCATCACTTTATTTAGCACTTAAAGCTGTAATATAACACAATATCCCCTAAGTGATTGATGTCAACAAATTATTTCCACATTTATCAGAAATTCTGGGGCTTGGGGAAGCTGCTTCTGCCAGCATTGTCCAGGGATTCAATCAAGTGCAGCTCTTTAACAGCAAAGCAGCTGAGGCTGCTCTTGGGTTGGTTTTGTTCTTTTTTTTTTTCCTTTGTGGTTTGGGACCCCAAGAGATACATTTAATTAAGAGTATCCTGAGGGTTATCCTCTTATCCCCCTGGACTAAAACCCATCTGTTAAGTGTTAATTAAGTTGGCAAGCAGTCGATTAAGCTGCGTCCCCACTGGTCTGAATTTATTTACGACCGTCTCCAGATCTCTAAATGGCAGTGAAGCTGCTCCTGTGTCCAATTCACGGTGCCCTGGAGCTGAGGGGTGACATCTCCTCCAGCAGAGCATTCCCAACTTTCAGCAGAGGGCTTGGCTGTCTCAGGGAAGCTCAATTTCAGGAGAAAACCCCATGAGTCAGGCCAGCAGTAATACAGGGATTGTGGGGTTGTGTCTCCCCACTCCTTTAGGTTATCCCTGGATCACGTGTTCAAGCTCTTCTCCAAAATGAGAAATGCTAATTGATTACTTACTAAACTAAGTTTTTGAAGTTAAATTGCACAATTCCTACAGCTGACACCAAACACTTGGGCCCTCCTGTGCACTGGTAATGCTGCAGCCCCAAACACAGCAATCTGCATCTCATTTACAGGCATCCTGTTAAAAAAAAAACAAAACAACAGACAGACAGGCCTTTCAATACACATTTCAGGAAAATAAATTCTGCCTTAACTTCTCTCAAGACATTCAGGGCCAATTAAAGCTGTTCCCAGAGCATGGAGCAAGCCAGGATTCCATTGGGTTTTACCACAACCTTTTATTCAAAGTTTCATTTTACCTCAATCTTTTTTTTTTTTTTTATTTAAAGTTTTAATTCCAAAGGCCTCACCTGAAAGACAAACAGAATTAAGCAAGACATGCAACGTTGCTCGTGAAAAATGAAGCAGTTATCCTGATAGTGCAACACTGTCAAGCTTGATTTATTGACACATTTTTATGTGAGCGGGACAACACTGAAGGCAGGTCATGTTCCACATTCAGCTGTGCTGCACAGCATTAAATCACACACAAAACACACACTGAGAAGGGGTTTAAGTGCTCTGGTGCATTGAGAAGCCACACAGTGTGGAGGTAAAGAGCTGTCAGTTCACACTGGGGGAAGGTGCCAGAGACAGAGCCAAGGAGCTGTTCCTTGGGCAAGGAAACAGCTCCTGGTGCTGAAAAACCTTTCCCCTTTGGGAATGTGGGGGTGCTGTGCCCCTGCCTCCCTGGGGCTCACCCCTGACATTCACCTGTTAAAACTGGAATTTTATTCTATTATTTTTCACTCTTTAAACCTCCCTGGTGCTGCTCAGCTGTGAATATTCTGCTGCCATCCTGGGCATGGCCGTTGTCACCTCAGACCAACCAACACTCTGTACAAAGTTCAGACCTGAAGGTGCAAATAATAAACACCTTCCCTGTTCCAGCTGCTCTGAACCACAAGGGAGTTGAATTCAGTCCTGAGCTCTCCCCCGCCACTGTCAGAAAGAGACAGGTCAGAAGACAGGTCAGAAAGAGTCCTACAGGTCAAGTTAAAAGAAGATCCTTGGCTTCTCAGGGCCCTGCTCGTGCCTTCTCAGCTCCAAGAACGGGGCTAGAGAGCAGAAAATGAAATTTTTTTGGAAGCTTGGGAGAAAAAAGCAAGAAAGGGGGAAGTACATAATATATATCAGGAAAAAAAAAAAAACCCAACGAATAATTTCTTGCTGCAAAGTCTGTGCTTGGTCACCTGCCCTTTTTAAATACTGGGAAAGCATGTAGGCCCTTTCTGATGGATTATTTTATACCACAGCAGCATCTGGCATAATTAAACACCCAGAGAATATTGCCATGTAAAAGAGGTGTTTGTAGCTGTCAGTGGGTTTAGCACAGCTTGTTTTCCAACTGTGTGTGTTCTGTGGTGGCAGAACTAATAGGTCCAAACTGCCTGGTTGATTAAAAGGGAGGAGATAAAGGAGAGGCAGCGTTCCTGTGCCCTGCATGACTTCATTCGGTATTGTTAATGAACAAAAGCTGCCCAGAAATTCACAGTTGATTACCAGGATCCCAGGGCAGTAAATCAGTTGTCACTGCAGCCAGGTGAATGGCTGCTCTGGCAGCATCAAATCTCTGCAAAAGAAAAGTTGTGTTGTCCTGCACAAGAGCAAGAACCTGCAATAATTGTGTGGGAAGATGAATATCACAAGTACACAAAGCTCAGTTGTGCTTACAGAACTAAGGGATGCCAACACCTGTAAGCATTGGGGACCACTAAAGTTGGACACGCTGCCTCCAGCAGAACAAAAATAAACGTGATAAATCATTTAAGACAGGATCAAAAATGATAGAAAATTCCCCACCAGATCCCAGTCATATTATCCTCATTTCTCCTTGCCCTTGTACCTCACAGCGTTCCCCCTGCACCAGTTAATCCAACTCGAAGCTCCTGCCACGGAACAGAAAACTGGCAAATAATCTTTGTTCTAAGCCGACACATAATCCAGTGGTGCTCTAAAAACAACTCCCAGCCTCAGTGCTTGTGCTCAACACCAGCCAGGGAACAGCAGTACAGGAGGTGGCCCAAAAATCCGTGGTTTGAGGGGATCAAGCAGCTTGTTTGCTCTGACCAGCCCCGCTGCTCTAAAAACACAGGAAGTTCCAGTGGTGATGCTTAAAAACAATTCCATTTATTGCCGTGTTCAGTGAGTCAGTGGTCACACCAGACACGTGAGGATTTACAGCCTTCCTGCAAATCCATCACAGGCTCTGGAAATGAAAGATTAAATCCTTCTCTCCTCTTCTGGCTGGAGATGAACCCCCTCCCAGCAGGGCTGAAAACTGCACAGTCACTTCTCTTCCCACAGCATCAGCTCTCTCACCAGTTGCACTCCCCATTTCACACCTTAGCACAGCAGGATTCCATCAGAACTGGCATTCAGTCCTTGCTAAGATGAGTGCTTTCAACTTCACAGCTATTAGAAAGAGTTGCTTACTTTAACAATCAGCCTGGAAGGTTCAGCTGGAGATGAGCTTGTCGAGGTTGGCTTTTACACTTGCTCGCATTTTAATGGGTAAATAAATAAAAGGTCAGACTTCTGAGGATTCAAATCCAGTCCTTTAAGGTCACTCAGTCCTTTTTGCTGTGCTCCAGCACCCGGTAGGGAGGGGCAGACACCCCTTTGGGTCCGTGCTGCTCCTGCACGATGGGCAGCGTGGCCGGGGTGTAAATCTCGGGCATGTTGTCGTTGTTCTCCAGGGCCCCGTAGGAGAAGGAAGCTTTGAGGTCAGGCTGGACTGCAATCCCTTTGTCATGCATGTTCTGCATGCCTGGAGAGAGCAGAGATGAAATGTTTAGGGACAAAAAACCGCATCTTTCCTGGGCTCTGGGAAATCAGTGAATTATCATGTCTCTCTGTTCTTCAGCTCATCGGTTCCTTGAGGGTTAAATCAAAGGCCAGGGTGGTTTTTGTGCTCAGCACTGGAGCAGATGGTGGGGAAATGAGGGATGGCAGTCAGTTATCCATCAACTGCTGCATCTCTCTCACACAGCTCACCACAGGCTGTGCTTCCCAAAAGAAATTCCTGCTCCCCTTGGCCTCTGCCTCTCATCAGCCTTCCTCAGTGAGGGAACACTTCCCAAGGGTGATGAACCCCTGGATTTTACTGTTACCTGGCATGGCATCCATGGATATGTATGGTTCAAAGGGCACAGGCTTCTTCCTGTTCCTGGTGATCAGGAAGACACCCAGGAACGCTATGAGGCACCTGAGGGAGGAGAACATCATCACTGCCATCACTGCCAAGGGACGGCACTCAGCATTGCAGCTGCCAATAATCTCCCAACTGTGTGTTTTTATTTTCCTTATCTCTGTATTTCTAAAAGCAACCCCTTCCAGTTTCCCCCTCCAGGAAACTCGAAGCACTTACCCCAGTGCAAACATGCAAATGTGCAGAACATCCTCCCCCGTGAAGTCCAAGTAAAAAGTCGCTCCTTCAAAAGGAAATAATTCATTATATCTTTCCTCACCCTCTCAGCGTCACCTCCAGCACTAATCCCTCCAGAAACCACTATTTTTTAAAGCTCCCTATTTTTACCTCTTTTTTTTTTTTTAATGATCATTTTTAATGAGTGGTCATCTAAAGATCCCCTGCACTTATAAAATTTTAAATACAGTCTAATTGGATAACTCATGTTTTTATGAAGGAAAAATCAAACAAAGGTGGCAAGAAAACACAAGAAAATCTTGCTGGAGTATTCACCTTCCTGAGCTGGGAGTGAGGATTGTTTCCCTTGTTTTGGGAAGGTCTGTGCCCTTACCTGCTGAGATTGCTGCTGCTGTGGACAGGATGTAGCCAACACTGGCAATCTGAGCTGAGTCATAGAGCTGGGAGGCTTGAGCTAAAAACCTGCAACACAGTCACAGACAACAGGGCTGCATTTGCAGGGATGCTCTGCTTCGAGACACCTTCCAGAAGTGATGCTTAGATTTGGGAAATTAATCGTTTTTCTCACTGAAGCAGCAGCAACAACATCCCCTGGAATGGGTGACCTCAGGGCCACTCACATTCTGAGGGGCTTTTAGTCCCTGCTGCCACTGGGGTTTTATGTTATTGTGCAAAGGGGGAGGAAAAAACAAAAAACCAAAACCAGACACATTGTCAACAACACTGATTCTGCACTTTGATTTTAGCCAGTGCGCAGATACTGTGTCTGATTTACCACCATTTCATTGCTGAAACCGGTTTGCAAACGCTTGGGTGATGTGGATCCACATTTGGGATTGAAACTACTCCCACCATTATCCCAGAGGCTCCTGTGCCGTGGATTTGAGGGCAGGCCACAGAAGGGAACGGAATAGTTTTAATTCTGATTTTGGAAGGGTCACGAGCAGCCCGGAGCGGAACAAGGACAGACACAAAGAGCGAGGGGCTTACGTGGCCTGGTAGATGGCTGTGGCAATCATACACACCAACATGATGTAGAAGATGGGGGAGTCCAGCTGCAGGGTCCCTTGGATGGACACAACAATCATCCCTGCCACAGCCTTCACCGTCACCACCGTCATGGAACCTGAGGGAGGTCAGGGGAGTTCACCACACTCTGCTGGAAGCTCCAAACCACCTGAGCAAAGGCTGCAAACTGCCCCCTTTTAGCACCAGCTCTGCCAGTTTTATTCCCTGAACCTTTCTGTGTCATAATTCCCACGTCTGCAGAACATTTGCTGTGGCTGTCACCTGATGGAAGGATACAAATCTTCATCTGGTTTGGTTAAGAAAAGCCTGGGAAGTTTTCAAAGCAAGAATCAGAAGGATTCCTCTCTCTTTTAAAAGCCAGTCAGAGTTAGTGGAGTTGCTTTGTCTGTAAATCACAGAGCCTTTGAGGTATCAGTGATTGAAATCCAGCCCCAAACAGTTCAAAAAAACAAAAAAGAACAAAGAAAAAAAGAGTAAAAGAAAAGACACTGCAGTGACTGAAGCTGCATAAATAGCAAACCTTGAGGACTGAGACCCAGGTTTAAGTGTGTCAGGCTGAGTCACTGCCTTGCTTTATTCACCCTTTGGAAAGTGGAATGGAGGACAGTTTCTTTACAAACAAACCCAGATGAATGTGGAGAGAGGGACAAGTGAAATCCCATTGTAGACTTGAGGGATATTTTTGACTCCAAGCCCACAGACTGTCCCAGTGTCACCAGGGACACACTGGCAGGGCATTTCTCCTTTCTTTACCCACACAGCAGATCTTCCCAGAGCCAAGAACACTCTTGGAGGTCAAATCCTTTCTTTCCTGGACCAGCCCTGCTTATCCACTGAATGCCGTGCTTTGTGTGCACAGATTAAAAGGAAAATTAAACAAATAACTTGGGCTTTCTGTGTTTGGCAGATTATTCCTCCTTATGGGAAATAAGCCCTCATTGTTCAAAGGTCATTTGCAAAGATGCCCAGCGTTTGTAGTAACATTTCTGGGGCAGATTGGTGCATTTTGTGGCATTAATTAGGTCAATATAATCCTCTAAATGCTAGAGATGCCTCAATTTGCTGTTTAAAGATCTTACAACTCCACATCAACTTACCCAGCAAAGCCACCAGCAGAAGAATAACTACAATGTAGTTTGCATTTTTCTCCTTGTAAAAATACAGCAGCAGGCAGAAAACAATGATCTCCACAAGCTACAGAAGACAGAAATGAGAATATTAAAAAGGCAGATTAGATGGGCCAGACAAACACTGGAATTACACAATAGGGCAAATCAAAGGGAATTGGGGATCCCCCACAATTACAGATTAAATTTAGCATGATCTTAGAGTCAGTTAAATGAGCTATTCAGTGGCTTCTTGCAGAACAGGAAACATGGGACACTTTAGAACATTGTATTTATGGTAAAGCAGCAGATCAAATAATCCTGGTTGAATGTTCCCATCAGAGAGCTCAGCCTGCTTTCTGTGAGGAGGTTCAGTCAAGTGACCCCTGAAGCACAAGCCTCAGTGAATGGCCAAGCTCCTCTCAAACATAAAATGACAGGTTTCAGAAGATTTTCAGTGAGCAGGTTATGGCTCCAGCGAGAAAGTCAGTGGAGAAAAAGCCCAGCTGAAAGCACAGTAACTTCCAAATTAAATATCTTTTAAGTCCTAAGAGAATAATTCAGAGAAGGAATGGCAGAGCTGTCAGCTGTGCATGTGCCTGACACCTGGAAAAGCTGCCAGAGGTTTCCCAGTGAGTACAAGGAATATTGGCAGCAACCCCGGGGAAAAAAACAACCCTTGAAAGGAAACTCCCAAATCAGGAACGCTGAGAAAGCCACCCCACATTTCCTGGGCCACCTTACCACGTAGAGCAGAAATGGCCAGCTCACTAAGTGCCTGGTGATGTTTTCTGCTGTCATCTTCTCGTGGCTGTTGGGTCCAAAAGTCACCAGCAGGTAAGTGCCAACAATTGCCAGCCCACAGCCGAGGAAGGACAGGACGTAACGTCCTTGCAGCCAGGAGAGGGGACAGGAGAGAGAAGGGCAGGGTTAAGTTATGGCATCAACACCACACCTGAGCAGTGGCATCTTGAACATTCCCTCCTCGGGGTGACTCAGTGCCCCACTTCCCAAATATCAGAGCAATCAGGGGTGAGGGAGCTGGGACAAGCAGAGAGGAGCTGCTGAACAAACAGGGCTGCAGAGCTGTGTGTGTGTGGCTTATCCTGCCCTGCACAGCCCTTTTTCCTGGGAAATGCAGGGAGGAATGTCCCAGCTCTGCAAACACTGATTCCCCTGTGCCTCAGAGTCAGGATCCTCAAATCCTGCAATGCCTGGAATTTCTAAGAGCTGTGAGAGTCAAGTGATTTGGCCCTAGTCTGAAAAAAAAATATCAATCTTTAACTAACAAACAGTGGATGAGATTCCAACAACCTTTATTCCAACAGATACCACCTGCTGACCTTGCCATCCCTCTAATAACAATATAAAATAATGAAAGGATAATTCCTGAGAGGCCACGCTGTGTGTGCTGAATGGCTTGTAAACAGAGGGGGGGAAAACCGAAAAGGAACTGCAGAACTTACTCAAAAACTCCTTGGGCTTCCATTTTTCTTTAATAAATATAATCCCTATGATTGCACTAGCTATAAAAAAAAAAAAAAAGGAAAGAGGAACAGTGAGTTATGGATCAAGCAGGAATGCGAGAGTGGAACACACTGAGCTCCCTCCTCACCTATGACAGACACTGCACTCAGCGGCACAATCAGCGAGACGGGAGCGAAGGCGTAGGAGGAAAACACTCCCAGCTCTCCCAGCAGCAGCAGGAGGAACCCACACCACCAGGTCTTGGTTTTGAAGTAGGCCCTGGGGTCTTTGGAGCCTGCCAGCCTGATGTGGCTGTACTTCTGGAAAAGAGAACAAACCAAAAAGAGGAGCAAAGCGTGGTCGTGGTGGGTGTTCTCAGTGCAGGGTGAATTCTCTGCTGCAGGACACTCACCTGCAGGTTGAGGGCAATGCTGCTGACAAGGTGCCCAAAAATAGCCAGTAAGGCCCCAATCAAGTTCTCCTGTAAAAAAGAAAGGAAACACACAGGGATCCAGTTTAGCCAAGGGATTGGCAGGGGGACACTCTGGAAGAAAGGCTTCCTGGATCATAGAACAGTTTGGGTTGGAAAGGACCTCACCCCACCTGGCAATAAAACCTGTTTATCTCCCTCCCTTTCTACTTATCTGGGGCAATCCAGAGAAGTCCCTGAGTTCCAAAGCTGTGAATTCAGCTGAGAACCCCTGACAGCCACTTTCTCCAAGAGACTTCAATTAGTTTGCAGATAAAGCCAAACACAATGACCCTGCCGCTCATTCCCTTTGGGAAAACTCCTTTCATGAGGATGTTTGTTGCCCTGGAATTCCACAGTAGGGATCAGGAACCTCTGCTTTCAAACTATTTTGCTCTTTTCCACTTGTAAAGGCTGCTGGTTCCCTCCGAATTCAGCCCATCTGATGAGGCAGCTCGAGCTGTCACAGATTTGATGCTGCTTTTTATCTGAACCAGTTATTCCAAAAGTCCCAGGTGACAGCTCCCAGCAAACTCCCAGCTCCTTCTGCACTGGCATTCCCAGCTCAGCAATGATTCCCACCATCTAGAAAGGTGGGATTTGAAATAAAACAGGAGGAAAAGCAGGTTGAGTCACAAAGGGAACGTGGAGTAGGAGTGAGGAGCCTGAGGCTAAGCCAGGCCTTTGAATATTTGTGTGCTCCCAGCAACTGTCTGAAATCCAAGCCCTTGAATGCACAGCAAACCAGAACAACCTGGCAGAATCCACTGCACTTAAACACCTCCAGAAACCCCCAGCTTTGAACTGCCAGCCTTTCCTTCACTTTGGCTGCTCTGCAGACACAGAATTTCTCTTTCTCTCTCTCCAGGTGACACCCCAGAGCCTCCAGGAGTGGCTGAACACAAAGACAGAGCACTTTCTGCAAAAAGTGACCCAAACAGAGCAGCATTCCCAGCTCAATCCAACAGCCAAGGGCCTTCCAGGGGTGGACTGGGGTGGGAATCTGACCTTGTAGGAGAAGGAATCCGTGTGTGGCTGCACAGAAACTGCTGCTGTGGCCAAGGGCAGCTGCTGGAGTTGCAGATTTGGGCTGTTGCCTCCTTCCATTGTGGTGCTTTGCAGTGTTTGCTTTTCAGCCTCTCTGAAGTCAGAACTTCTCTTTAGAGAAGAGACGTGGACCTTGCTGGAAGCAGCTTTTGGTGCCTCTCCTTCCCAGCCATCCTGTTTCCTTGGCCAGGCAATGAAATCCTGCTGAAGGTTAGGCCACTGGAAAAAAAAACCCAAACAAACCTGGAATCAAACTCACAGCAGAGAAAGCACATTTTAAATGCCTTCTTACAAACCTGGACAGAAACTCCCACAGACTTGGCTTTACAAAGAGCTCTGAGCTGGCTGGGCCCCAGGGGTGACACACTCAGCTGGCATTTACCAGCACCACAAAGTCTCTGAAGTCCTGCAAGAGCTGCTTTTCATCCTCCTCCTGCCTGTACCCCTGGGGTTTGTCGAGGACCAGCAGCTCATGAGTCACCCCATCCCCACGTGCTGGGGATGACAGAGACGCTCCCAGAGGTCATCCCAGTGCAATCCCTGGGAGCAGCGGGGAGCTGGAATTCCTGGGAATTGGAATTCCTCGGAGTCAAACTCATGTCTGAGCTCCCTGCACACCGCGATGGCTCCTTCTCCCTGAGGGAGCACCGGGACCATCCCTGCCTGCTTTAGGAGATGCAGATTTACAGACAGACAGACAAGGGGTGATCCCCACCCCTGACACGTCCTCAGGCCATCAGACCCCCGGGATGGAGCGCACGGAGCATCCCAGCCCGGGACCCTGGAAACTGAGGCAGCAGGACCGGGCTGGGTACCGCGACCCCCCCGAGCTCACCCTGGTTGGTGCCTTTAACCCAGCCTGAGCCTCCCGCCCGGGGGGAACAAGGGCAGCACCTCAGCCCGGCCGGGAGCGGGCAAAGACACCCGCTGTGAGGCGAGACGGGGGGCAAACCCCCCTCAGGGTGTGAGAACCGCGGGCACGGCGTGTCCCCACACACCCCCGGGCCGGGCCGCCCAGCCCAGCCCAGCCCAGCCCAGCCAAGGGTTGTTCACCGCCGAACCCTCCGGAGTCCCGAGCGCACCGGGGCGGCCCCGCCACTCACCTGTCCCTCACTGTCCCTCACCTGTCCCCTCAGGCTCGGCCCGTCCCTCCCCGCCGCCCCCGGCCCGTCCCCAACTCCGGCTCCCGGTCAGCGCCCCGAGCCGTCACCGCCCGGCTCCTCCGATTGGCCGCCAGCGCTGTCAATCTAGGGCTGGGCCTCAGCCTTGCACGGGGATTGGCTGCTGGTCGGGGGCGGGATCCGGCTCAGCCAATGGGCGCAGGGCTCCGAGGGGCCGGGCGGAAGGAGCCGCGTTCCGCCGCTCGGTTGTAGCGGGGCGGTCCCGCGGGGCCCTCCCGGGCTCCAGGGCAGCTCCCCGGTGCAGGCCCGCAGGGACAGGTGCGGGACCCCCGCCCTCCCCCGCGCTTCGGGTACAGCGACAGCGGTGGGTCCGGATGGCGCAGCCACAGCCGCCTTAAGGCGCGTGCGCGAAGCGGCTCCACCGAGCCACCTTAACCCAGGCGCGGCGGCTCTGAGAGCTCGCCTGTGATTGGACGGCTGCTGCCGTTCCCAAAGTAACGGGCGCGCTGATTGGAGGAGAGCGGGGCCGGCGGTTGTCACGGCAACGGGGTTGTCGCGTCCCCTCCGCGGGCCGGGGATGGGCGGGGGATGCACCGGAGGTACCGGCAGGTACCGGCAGGTCCCAGACCCCGGGCCGGGGCCAGGGGGTGTGACTCAGCTGCACAGGGACCGCCCTTCCCGGCGTGCACCGCGCACCTTATCGGGGCGGGGCGCGGCCCTGAGGAGACTTCCGGTGTCGCCACCCGGGGACTCACCTGAGGCCTCACCTGGGGTTCCACCTGGGCCTTCCCCTGACCCTTGTGTCCCCTGAGCCATCGCCCTGTGCTGCCCCATCCCATCTCTGTCAAAGCAGCCCTTCAGCCCCAGCCCTGCTGCCCCTGAACGCCTGGCAGTGGCTTTAGGACCAAAAATCCCGGTGCCACACTGAGCAGGGACACTGGAATGGGCTCTGAACTGGATTCCTGCCTTCCCACGGGTGCTCAGGGGTGTCTCGGAGGATGAGGCAGTTCAGGCACAAAAACAGTGCTTGGTGAGACGTCCCCAAAATAAACAGCACTGACAGCACAGCTGAGGGGTAAAAACCCCAACCACACCAAGGTTTTTCACTCAAGGCACAGCAGAGGGTCCATTAATGGAACAAATCAAGTGACACCTGGTACTATTTATATCCACAGCAGGTTAGAGCTGTTTGAGGTCCTAAATTCCTCTCCTTGGGCACAAACCAGCACAAGGGACCAAGAAATGCCATCAACCCACGGTGTGCCCCGTGGCACTGCCCAATTCCTTGTCCCACCTCCTGGATGGATCTGGGATGTTCAGCATCTCCCTTCAGCTTTCCAGTTTGGGGAGGGTCATCCCCCCCGACTCACTAAATGAGGACAATCTGCAAAAGTGATTTACAGCACTGAGTCACAGCCCATTCAGCAGCAGCAGAGCTTCCAAGGGCTCTTTTACTCCCCCCAAATTTGCTTCTTAAATAAATCAGGGAAATGAAATGCAGAAGTGGCTGCTGATTTCCTGGCTGGAACACTGCACTAGTGTTAGATTTGCCTTCCCCTCACACGCCCCATTTAAAATGAAAGCTGGGCTTGGATTTGCATTTTCCTCTATCTCCATATTCAGAATCTCGTCATCATCAGCTGTTCCTTTGGGGTTTCGAGATTTCCTCCAGTCCTTATAAACACCACAGGAAAGTGATCTCAAAGTACGGGGGAAAAAAAGGGGATTTAAATCTCAGTCACAGAGATTTCAGTATAACCAAGCAAGTAACAAAAATGTTTGAAGTTTAAGCCTTTGTTTTAATTTTTTGTGCCACAGATAATGATCCTGGCTTGTCATAAGAACAGCAACTAAGTTGAGGTCGTTAAGTTGACTTTGTAATCACCGCTCATAACAGGAGGAGAAAACTAGTAATTCAATATTATTGGTTCATTTGTGCCCATCTCCCCATCTCCCACCCACCCAGCTCTGGCCCTGCTCCCATTTCCAGTGGTTTTGAGCTCTCCAGGACACACAAACACACGTTGGGTTTTTTCAGGAGCACATTCCAAGGATTTAATGCCTGTGCACTGACAGCACGAGGTGACCTTTCCCATCTTTTGCTCTGCTTCCCGCTGATCCCAGATATTCAGGGATTCCCTGGCTCTGTCTGGCCAGCAGAGGGAAGCAGAAAGACACACTCAAACCCCCGCGATTCCCCAGCCCGCGCTCCTTTTCAAGCCCAGCCAAGACTCGCAGGTGCCAAGGGGCTCCTGGGCCTTCTGGATCCACCTTTCCAGCTGCTTCCTCAGAGCTGGTGGAAGGAGGATGCCCTTCCACAGCCTCCTGCTGTCTGGTGACTGCGTGGTAACCCCAGAACTCCCCCAAAATCACCTACATTAACGCTTTCTGAAACTTTGCACCGGCTATGTAAAGCAGGTAAATCAAGGAAGCGTTTGACATCTTCCCTCTTTCTTCTTCTGCCTTTGGCATCTTCCCTTTCTTCTCCTTCCTTTGATCTCTCCCCCCACTCCTCGCTTGTCTCTGCCATCTGGGTGATATCAGGAGTGTTTTATCTCAGCAATCGAGGATGGAAAGGACAAAAAAGACCGGGGGGGGGGAAACGATCAAGGCGGGGAAGTCGCTTCAATGCCTCGTGCAGGCGCCATCAGTCAGTCTGCCTGGTCAGCTTCCAGCAGCTGCAGGTGACCTGGTGCTGAGCTGGGACCCAGAAGAGGAGAGGCAGAGTCTGGAGGCAGCTCCTCAAAGCGCTCCCTTCCCTGGGAGAACTTCCTGCTCCAAGGGCAGAGCGGGCAGGGAGCCAAACCACACAAAGCTACACCAGGGCTTGGCTGGTTCCTCCGTGGGCTTTAGGCCTGGAGAAAGGTTCCTGCAGCAGCCTGGGGAGGGGAAGGGTGGGAATCCAGGAACACCAGTCCTTTTTTGGGGGGCTGCCGATTTGGTTCCCTCCACCAAAAGCTGCGTTCTCTCCATTCTGGAGCACGTTCCCTCGGGCAGGGATGGATGCCAGGACATGGAGTTGACCCACTTGTAATTTAGGCAGTGCAAGGAGCTTATTTGCTTCTCCCTCCCTGACCTAGAACACCCAACAAGGTGAGTTGACCCACTTTTGTCACTCTACCACTTCAGCCCTGTTGTCCCCCATCCCTGCAGCTCCCAGGGGGGCACTGGGGGAAGCTGTTCCTGCTGGATTGACCTCTCAGCACGGTGGTCCTCGTGTCACCAAAACACAATTCTGGGCGCTCTGAGGGCAGAACCTTGAGGTGCAGCCGCTTTAGCAAGAGGGAAAACCCTCCAAGGGTGTGGAGAGATGTCTAATCTGCAATTACTTCCAGCAGCACAGAGGTGACGATGGACATGCCAAACCCGTGGCTGCCTCCCTGCCACGTGCTGTCCTGGAAGGTGCTAATCAAGAACGTGCTGCCAGTGCAGTAACTCCCCTTTGTGGGGGCAGGGCTGGGTGATGGAGCTGCATCCCTGGTCAGCAGGAGCAGCCAAGCCTGGCAAACCCCAGGGCAACGGAGCTTGCAGGTGCAGTTTTTTTTATCAGCCGCTTTGGGGTTTTAATAGTCGGTTCCAGCACATTGGGGCTGGTCTTGCCTCCCTCAGCACAAGCCTCCTGTCCGGGGTGGAGAACCTCAGGCTCGTGGCAGGGCTCCCACAGGGCAGGGCCACGTGGGGGTGAGAGCCCACGAGTGTCCCTTTGGCACCCTGGGAGTGTCACAGGAGCTAAAGTGAAGCAGAGCCCTGCAAAAATCCCCCCAGTTGGATCACACCCCTCAAACTTTAGTCCAGTCCTGAAGCCTTTTCCTACAAAGAAAAAAAGTGGAAAGGATTATTCATGTCCATCTGCTTGATGAGTGGCACCTTTACAAGAAGGGCTGAATCCATGGGAATTCTGGGGGCACACGAGAGCTGGAGGCCTCGGAGTTCCTCGGGATCTGAGTCCTTGCAAAGCTCTTCCACCTGTCCTGGAGGTGCCACATGTTTGGGGTTTATTGTTTTTAGCACTGCTGCACCTGTCTGTGCACGCAGCAGGGACAGCTCAGAAAACAGCCTGGGAAGGG